GTGAGCTGGTGACTCCTCTCCATGACAACTTGATGGATGTGCGGGCGTCAAACAGCTGCTCCAGTGGACCCACCCCCTCTCCCTCCCCCTTCCTTCTTGGCCTTCAACACCCATCTCTACCCACAGCCACATCCACATTCACTTCCCTTTACCCCGGATGATCTCTTTACTCCGGCTGACCGCAAAAACAAAACAAATTCCGCACTGATTGCCAAAAGGGTTCTTTGGCCACGCCCCAGCTCACCTACGTCGCACTCCATAACGGTGCTTTAAACACAACCGATTTTTCGGGGCCGACTTCATTAGGCCCCAATCCGACCCGATCCGATCCGAGTTTTAGCATTAGCCTGGGCGTGAGTGGGCTGCCTTCTTCTGGGAGCTGACCAAAAATTAATTGGCTGCTCTGAGCCGGCCGACAGCTGCCATTTTGTGCCTGCCATTTGCTATGCGTAGACATGTCAATTCCCCACGCCGAAAACACCACCTCCACAGCCACCCCCTTTTCCCCACCCATTTTCTCACTTTCCCATCTGCCCATCCATTTGCCCACTACCAATGCCTCCAGGTAGCTTAAAGATTTATGATAAAGCCAACTAGTGGGCCTGCTGAGGGGAAAACGAAGAATGGCCGAAATGAGGCAGGGTGGCCGCCAAATTCAAGAGGGGGAAAAGTTTATCCAACTTTGGCTTTAACTTTGGCATTGGATTGCCTCATTGCGGCTCGTTTATCTATGAAATGAAGGAATCTGATTGCCAAACGAAGCGTTCCCAGTTGGGCTTTCAACTGAAATATCGCGGCGTTTGTTTGAAGCGATTCCGAATTCATACAGTTTGCTGAATATTAAAATATCAAATAGAACAGAAATTGATTGTATTTTATTGATGACATTCTGTGAATTAATTTGATGAAGGGGAATTTCCATATTTTTGTTTTTCCGAGAATCACTGTGCAATAACCTATCGACAGTGATGGAAAAGGTACTGCATTTTTAACGTGGATAAGGTACAAGTTAACTATGTATACATATAGACAAGTTAATCAGTTAACTCTCCCTTATAAATATCATCAGGATATTTATACCCGTTACTCGTAGAGTAAAAGGGTATACTAGATTCGTGCAAAAGTATGTAACAGCTAGAAGGAAGCGTTTCCGACCCCATAAAGTATATATATTCTTGATCAGGGTCACTAGCCGAGTCGATCTAGCCATGTCCGTCTGTCCGTCTGTCTGTCTGTCCGTCTGTCCGTCTGTCCGTCTGTCCGTCTGTATGAACGCTGAGATCTCAGAAACTACAAAAGCTAGAAGGTTGAGATTTCCCACACATATTCTTTGGCTTCCTACGCAGCGCAAGTTTATTTTAGCCGAGCGCCACGCCCCCTCTAACGCCCACAATCGCCCATTAACGATTTTAAAATGGGTCCTGCGCCCACATCTATAAAGATTTCCGAGAAGTATAAATGCAATTTTGTTGTGTATATTTATACCTATCGAAATGTAGAAGACATTTTTCAAATCGGACCATTCATTAAAAAGTTATACGATTTATAAATTGTCAACATATATCTATCTCCCTCGCACTCCCTTTAGCTGAGTTACGATTATTAGTCGGGACACCAACCCGACACAGCGCTCGCACTCCCTTTAGCGGAGTGACGGGTATTAGATAGTCGGGACACCAACCCGACTATAGCGTTCTCTCTTGTTTTATTATATTTTTGGAAAATTCCAAAACTTTTTAGTAACATAAATAGAGATGTGCTGATTACAACTAACGATATTTCCCATCACTGATGTCCCGATGGGATGCTTTAAAGTAGAGTCCTGGCCCACCCTTCTCCTCGAGATTTGTGCGTGTCGCAGCTTATGCTCTGGCTTAAGCGCTTAAAATGCTTTTTGACAACAACAACACCAACAACTCGGGTGGCAGCAGTAGAATGATAAATTCGTTCCCTTCCCATTGTTCTAGATGGTTTTTCTCGTGTAAGCCACGCGCCGTCTAGCAGCCCCATTCCCATGGCCACAGAAAATCCCAGCCATTTGACAACCCACTTGCCCATTTTCCTGTTTCCATTTTCCCCCCAACCTCGATTTTCTGCACAGTAAGATATCTGTGTAAAATTTCATTGCCTATTTTGTTTTCCTTTTTTTTTGACGCTGAAAATCGCAGCTTCACCAATTTGCGCTCAATTAATTTTGTTGCCTCGCGTCTCTCGCCTTTTTTTGCTTGGCTTTTCTTTTTTATATTTGCGGCTGTTCTCTTGTTTATCATTTTCCAGCCCAAGAATAATTTATTAAGTTGCAAACATTTTGCGAGCTTTTCGCGTTTACTTAAATATTCACGGCCATTGACGGGACGCTGTAATTCAATTTGCTGCCTTTTTCCTGGCTTTTGATGGCTATGCAGTAATTGCGTTTACTGTTATTAATTAACTGGCGTTTTATGCAGATTTTAAAATGAAATTAATTATACATTAATTATGTCGTAATAACGTAATCATAATTCACGCATTCGCTGCGCCACTGCAGTCGGTTAACAGGCATCGACGCGTGTCCCACGGCATTTAATTGCATTGGTCTTGTGGTCAGAAATCGGCTGATCAAGTCGGAAAATGTTTCCATGTATTCGTCGAAATAAAACCTAAGTGGCAGAGGTCAAATGCCAAAGGATATCGAAAATAAATTAAGCTAATAGTATTAATGTTTTATAAATCCGCTTAGTAAATAAATGTATTTGTAATTCCCACTAAGCTTTAAAGGTTTTTCTGCTGTGCAAAATATTATTTTAGTTTTCTGATTAATGTTAAATATTTATTTCATTAAATTTAATTGTTGACTTCTCTAAATAATTTTGTGGGAATTTAAATTATTATCTACAGGGGCTAAAATTTATCATATTGCGTTTAGCTAAATAAAATTACGTATACGCCTATTAGCCGTGAATTAATATGGAACGTTTCTATTTTAAATCAAGCACTTTCTGACTTTTTATGTTTGAATAAAGGCGGTGACAGGTGGGTTTTTACAGCCATTGTAACGTATCTAACCAATGCAATTAATGTACTGCAAGGCTTTCGCATATCCAGTTGCTGCTTTTGCCGCCCTGCCTTTTGCATTGTGAGGGCCTAATCCTTGGGATCTAATGCCTCCTGTTCGCTGGAGATTTCAGCTTCCGTCGCAGGACTCTCTGAAAGCTCTTGACAGCAGGCAAATCCCGATTTCGTCCTTTCTTGTGCAACTGCGACTGGAACTGAAACTACATACAACTGCAGCTACTGGCAGCAATATTTTTCACACTTGATATAACAAGCAGCCATTTGTTGGCCCTCCTTGCTACATTGCTCACTTTGCCAAGGATTGCTCCAGGTGTCTGCGCGTGTGTGTGTGCGTCTCCCTGTCTGTTTGTGTTTGTGTTTGTAATGGCTCCCAAAGCGCACAAACAAAACTGTCATCGGTGATGCAGCATCTGCAGGGGGTATTGCAAAAGAGATGATGGCAAAAAAGAGGCGGAAGCAGCACTCAGATAAATGCAGTCCTCAAATCAGCCATTCGCATTCGAAAATCGAAGCAAAAATACTTAACAGGCGACGGAAGCCGCACTCACATAAATGCACCTACGAAATAAGCGATTCCTTTTGGAAATCAAGGAAATAGCTTTTCAAGAAGGGGGGGCTATTAAAATTCCGAACTTGGAAATTCCTAATTTTTAAAAATAAATTCTTGAGATTATGGAGAAAAACAATTAACGGATATTAAAAAAAACTAGTAATAAGATTAATTTGTTTTATTTAAAATTAAAATTTATATTATTTTGTAATATTTTAAGATTTTTATTTGGCTCTTTTGCCGTGTGACTGCAGGATAAAAGACTGCCGGCAGATGTTTCCAGAGCCGAGCTAAGTCAAAGCGAAATTCGCCTGCGCTCGTTTGCCGCCTCTAATGCAATTTTTATGCTGCACTTGCTCCGCCGCCTGAAAAAGCTTCGGCAGCTTCCGTTGCCATCTCCTCGGCATTGTTTCTGGGCTTCCTTGTCTCCGGCAGCCGTTCGTCCTGGCCAGGATTCAAAGGCGGCGCGCTTATTAAATTGTCTGACGGTCGCCCCCTCTTCCCTCGCCCACTCCCCTTTAACCCCGTGGATTGCATTTTTCTATCCTGGCTTACGTTTTCCAGCTTTGATCGAAATATCGGAGACATAATGCAATCTGCACACCGCCAGCACATTTTCCACCAGCAGCTTCATTAAATGCAACCCCTGCCTCGTGCTGGCGACATCGCACGAGGTCCTGGGCCAAATGTCCTTGCCGCGTCTCAGGCGCTGGCTTTGATTATTATACTCTTCCACTTGGAGGGATTATTATCACAGCAAAAGGAATCCATAAATAACCATATTTTCCTTGTGAACATATCGAATTCTTTTCAGTTGGTTTTTGCATTTCACTTGCGTAAATTAGCACACTTGAAATAAACATTTAGTTCCCTAATCTTGTGAGCATCTTAATCAAAAATCGGGATTTTACCCTAAAAAAAAGTATAGAAAAGAACATTTTTTTAAGGAATTTCCATTAAATTCTTATTACAATATTCAATCTATAAAAAGATAAACTAATACAAAAATTATGTTTACATAAAAAAAATCTTCTAGACTTTTAAGGTAGTATTTCCTAGATAATTATATTTAACTTTACTTATTTCTACGTTTTTTTCTAAATTGTGTGAGGTGGTCTTCACCATGTTTAATTTCATAATTTTTTAAAAGTCCCCTGAGCAAACTAATCAATTTCAATTTTTCACAACTTTTCCGCCAGGACATTTTCTTCACAGTAAACTATGAAATTATGAAGCGAAAACTTTTTCAAGAAAGATTAGCGCCAGCCAATCTTAGCGCACAAGTGAGTTACTCAAGTGAATATTTTTCTTTCCACCTTTTATGCCAGCCCCTCAACAATGGATGGCTGGAAAAAAATACCTCTGTTCAAGACTTTGAAGGGGACAAAGGACTCACCTTTCACCAGCGTAAGGATGCCCAGCGGCATGACCAGAACGGCGACCATCAGATCGGTGATGGCCAGCGACATGAGGAAGTAGTTGGTCACATTCTGCAGCCGACGCTCCCAGGCGATGGCCAGGCAGACAAGGATGTTCCCGGCCGCCGTTCCCAGGACGAGGACGAGGGCCAAGAGGGCCCAGTAGTTGTTGGCATCGAAGGGGACATCCTCGGCGTGGAGGGTGCCATTGTTGCTGATATTCCACCTGGCCAGCAGCAGTTGATTATGCCGACTGCTGGCATTGCCCCCCACTCCGCGCTCCTCCTCCGCCTCCCACAGGACCAGGTGCTCCGAGCTGCTCCAATCCTCGCCACCGCTGTCGTTGTAGGCACCTAGCGAGGCATACACATCCTCTTCCATTCCGCGTTATTATTCCTATTGTGCGCGGCTCTACTCTGATTGCTGCAAATGCGGCATGCTAATTAGCCAGCGCATATGCAACGCAAAAGGGGGCTGGAAAAAAAAAGGAAAAGTCCTTGCACGCCGATTCGATTCGAATTGCAAATGTAAAATGGCGCAACCGGCTGCACCGGAAATAATTGAGGGACGCGGGATCAGGATCCGCGAAGGGGCCAAAACGAGCTCACGGCACCACGACGATTCCTGCGATTTCTACGGCAACCGAACGGATATTGGTGGCAAACATTTTATGCCACGAAATTGCCGGAAGTTTCTCCTGCAAACGAGAAAATAGGAGAATGAAAGAATTATAGAAAACTATTTTAATAGGCAATCTTCGCAGTAAATAAACATAGTTTCAGGAATTCCTTGAAAGAATTTTACGCTTCGAAAAATATTCCACGGAAACTTAATTTACGTTGTTGAATATATAAAAATTCCATCTGAAGTCTAAAACTTCAAACGGAATACTTAAAACATAAATTATTTCCATCTTTACCTACACAAAAAAACAAGCCGGGATCAATTCGATATGCGCGTGGTAAATTTCTTGTATTTACACGTATATACTGTTTACCATGCAATAAACTAGAAACTTTTAAAGGGTAGGATACAATTATTTATGTATTTATGTTACATTTTCAAAGAGTTAACTTTCTGGTAAATTCCCTAAAACAACAATGGAAACCAGAAGTTGTATAAGGACACACAAGTATTGTTCCAGATTGGCTTACTAATTTACAAATTCACAATAATTCCCTTACGTTGACTTTTGGCTGCGATCGGGTTGGCCTGGTTATTTCACCCCCAATTGGCTTAAAGTCGATAAGTCATAGCACAGTTCCATGAGTAATAATTAATGGGCGGCCATAAATTATGCCGACCTCCGCCCACTTTTGTTTACTCGATTTACCGTTCTCTATTCAGACGATTGGACGACATAATTGCATTTGATTTGCAGGAACTGAGGGCAATCGGCAGTGGCCGCAGGGGAAAAAGGGACTTTGAATAATCGAAATCGATAGTGATAAGCAACAATAACAGAAATCAAATCAATTCTCCGCCTGCGTATGTCACAAACATGGATAATTAATTGAGACATATTTCACGCAACAGACACATAGAGGGCCAGGAACAATGGCCCTGCCCTGGCCAATATCCAAATTCAAAACAATCGCCCAAAGCCAAAAGCCCAGGAAACCGCAGGCAGAGGCCACAAGACCATATCGGTGGACTATTGTGCCCCAAAACAGCACTAACATGAAATTTATTTCGAAAACAAAGAAAATAACGCAATTCCCCAGCCGCAGAAGCATAACTAAGAGCGGTCAGGTTGAAAGGAAGGGACTAGAGCTGTTTTAGAAGCTGTTCCTGGCTCGACCAGACAAACAAGTAAGTATGCCGCACAGAGAGAAAACTGCTACTTCTACTTAGACTAAAAAAAAACTTGAAATTAAAAAATCAACAATTTATGTTGCCTAGACGATATATTAAACTTAATCAACTAAGAATTTTAATTAAATTAATTTTGTAAGCGCAATATAAATTGAAAATAATTTACTATTTTTCAATAATAAAATAAATAATGCAATATACAAAAACATAAAATAAATCAATAATAATAATAACAATATACCCACGTTTAGATGGCATATAAACATAGAAATAGACTATAGATCCGAAATGTAGGTTTAGAAAAATAACATATTATACTTAGTAATAAAAAGATGATTTTAATATTTAAAATTCGTACAGAATTTAAGATTTTAGTTATATTTTGTTCTCCGTGCATCCACAACAGCAGGCTCGCCGTTGCAAAACAATACACAACATTCGCAGAGATCGAAGGAATGGGTAGGCGGTGGAGTGGAAGGGGAGTCAAGGGGAGTGTAGCAAATCGAGCAACTTTGGAAAGGACCTCAACTTGACAACACCTTGTTGACTTTGCGAGTGGCTGAGCGGCGGCAGTGGCTCCTGTTCCTGTCTGCACGTCCTGCCAAATGCTCAAGTGTCAATGTTGTTGTTAATTAATTTTCCCGACGTTCTGACTGACTGACTGACTGATGCATGCCACCAGATAAGTGAACCCCTGCCCCTACTTTCCACTTGCCACTTCAGCCCCAAGCTGACCCTTCCGTCGAAGTCCTTGCGGGCGCCTTGATAAACTGTTTGTTTGCCCCGTTGTTGGCCGACTTGTAGTTGCTGTTTCCTCTGTCACTGCAGCCGGCTAATGACAGCCAAACGGCCACTTCAAATGTACTCGTACATGGGTCAAAGGTCGCCTGCGTGTCGAGTGTTCCTGTGTTCTTGTTTGTGTGGCTGGGCGTCAAGTGTTTAAATTTCCAGCTGCCACAGTTATATTTATAGATTAGTTGGTAAAACAGGCCAAACAAACGGGCTTTTGGGACAGATAGAAGGGCTCAAGGGCTCACGTTCTAAAGTTCAATATATATGTATAAAAACATAATTAGGAATTGAAAAAGGACAAGGTTTACAGAAGTATAAAATGGAAGGTTTGAGGGTAGTATTTTAAGAAGTATTTTCGTTATGAAGCTTTAATTAAAAATGATTATTATATGGTTTTCAAGAATGTAAGGAGGCATTCCCCACCAAATTCCGCCCTTTAAAGAGCAGCCAGCTTTCATATAAATAACGTAAAATTCTCTTCAGGCAAAAAATAGCATGTCAGCACATTACAGAACCAACAAAGTCAGCCCGAGAGCCCATAATTATTATTCAGTTCCCACTCCCGTCGACCGTCGACCGTTGGACATGAATTGCAGAAAATCCATATTTTTTGTGGCAGGACTGGGAATGTGGGGGGTGGAGGTCAGGCGGGCAGGTATCGAATAAAAAGCGGAGCACCATTAGTCATATTAATCCCGGTGGAGTCATTAAGTCGTAAAACAGCGAAAGGTAGCCAAAATGCGAGGCAGCCGGGCCAAAAACTCACTTCAAGCGAGGCGAGGCAGGTCGACTTTTGTTTGTCTGTCACTTCATTGATAGACATTAACCGACTATGTGGGTCAATTTCGGCTGTTTGCCGCCCCGTCAAAGTCAATAAATAAGTAAATGGCACGAATTTGAGGTGTCCGAGGCGTATACGTAATTTGGTCAACGCACAGGAAGTAAATAAACTGGTGAAATAAGTACCTAGTATTTTAGGAAGCCAATAGGAGTTACTTTTAGTTTTTTTTAGGTTTCATTTAGACTGTCATAAAGTGAAGATAGTGAAGCTTACCGCTTAAAGTGAGGTTGTAAGCTTAAAGTATTTTTCTGAGAAGAGATTCATTGCATTCCAATTTATTTCCAATACTTGATTTATTTCTTTTGAAAACTATAAAAGCGATTAACCTATTCGTTTAGGACGAAATAAAAAATGAATTGACCTGGTCAGAAACAAAATCGAAAATTCCGTGAAATGCAGAAGTCGACATGGCTTCCGGGGAAATCAAGTTAACTCCCCAATCCGATCAGTGTTTCCACTCTATTCCACTCCGCCAGCATGCCATTCCAAGTCCAACGGCCCCGAGGGGATGAGTGCAACTAATCGCATGCTCATTGCTCATCCGCCGCCCATCCCTCGGCACATTGCTTATCCGCAGCGTAACCTGCCGGCTTTACAGAGCGAGGCGCACATCGCATCACGCATACGCCACGTCGGCCCGCCCAAAGGCACATATCTGTTTCAGCCGCTCTGCGAATGTGCGAGTGTACTGCCTATGGGGCAAGAAACACAATCCAAGGTACCGCAAACACTGCGCAAATATTTGCTTTAAAATATCTTTCACATGTCAGCGACAAGCGGCCACCGGGGAAATGGCGGAGAGGGAAAACTCCGGGAAATCGGAAGCTCGGCTACACGGGGATACACGGAAAATGGAAAACTGAGACAGGTGCGGTCGCTCGGTATTTTTATTTGCCCCGGCAGCTTAAGCACGCAATTTGATTTAATTTCTGTTCGCTTTATTTATTTATAATTTTTTTTGAAGCGATCAAAGCAAAGTGAAGCCCACAACGATTTCGGGGCCAATGAAATTTGAATTCAAAGCTCGGCCGGGTAAAGTTGAAAAGAGCGATGACATTTGCTCCCTTATGGGATTCAATTGCGAATTCACATTTTAATGAATTCCGTATGAAGCTTGAAAATTAGTCAAACGCCCAGCCAGCCAACAAAGGGCTTAAATCGTCTTACGAACTATCAGGCCCTGTTTCCAGGAAAACCTACAACTCGCTCTCTCACCTGCAAAGGGGAAAGCCCACAATTCAGACATTTTGGCCATCATCCATCTCTCCGCTGTCAGCCAGAATTATGTGCATGCATGTCGACTACTTTTGGGCGCTGATGTAATGCGTAATATTCCGTTAACTACACTCATAAAAATAATTTTCTACATTTTAGAAAATCGCCCTAAAAAAATTTTCGCCCTTGAACTGAGAAAAATTTTCTATTTTCACGACAAATTTGCCATAAATTCAAGGCAGGTGACCATAAAAAAATATTTTTAGGGTTAATTTTTCTATTTTTCTAATATTTAGGGCGATTTTTTTCGATTTGCTTCGTTTTGACCTTTTCTAAATCCAACGGCGAATTGCCCTAATTTTTTTTCTAAAATTTGTCTAAATACAAGGGCGATTCGCCTTAAAAATCACTCCAAAAGTGTGAAATTCGGTAGCCCAGCGGTCTAATCACTTGCGCTTTCAACTTTGCTATATGAGGACTAAGGTCGTGGGGTTGTGGGTTCGAACCCTGTGTGATTCAACTTGATTTTTATGTTTTTTTTTTTTGTAAACGTTATAATACTAAGGACATTTTTTCGTCCGAATTTTAAATTAAAGTAGTCTTTAAACCTTAAAAACGTATGGGAGTTCTGAGTTAAAAGCATACTTTGTGTTTGCTGGCAAGAAAACGGGACTAATTGTCACAGTCGTCAGGAAAAAAATATTCGGTTTAGTTGCCTTTAGTCAAATTATAACGTAGACCTCAGGAAAATAAGATGTCTGCAGAGTTTGTTCGTTGTCTTGCGCGATGGGTCTGTGGTGCAGCGGTAGAACGTTAGACTCTAAACCGAGAGGTCGTGGGTTCGATTCTCGCAATGACCAAAAAAGTAAGTTGTTTTTTCTCCTCATATTTATTTCCCTAATTCGTTTACAAACATGATTTTTCAGTTCTAACGGCTGTGTTGTATAGATCGGGCCCCCTCCTAACGCAGCTCCCATATAAGCTACACACCAATACAATAATATGCAATGGTCTCCTCCGTCGGTGTTGTTTAA